TCAGAGAAGGACGGGTTAGATAAGAGACCTCAGCAGTCACCAGCCCCTCTTTGAACAGTTTCAGTTCCCTTTTCCTAAAAAAAACCCAGCTTTTATCCTTGAAGTAGCCTCTGTGAGCGAGTTGCTTGTACAAGATCCCTCAGGACAGGAAAGATCTGGCAGGGAGCCACTCTTCCCAGGGTGTAACACAGCAATTCCTGGGAGAACTGCAGAGAATCAAAGGGTAAAACTTGCCCAGAGAAGCTGGGGATGCCCCATCTCTGCAACCTGGCATCTCTGCCCATGGCAGGGGGTTGGAATGAGAAGATCTTTAAAGTCCTTTCCAACCCAAACCATTCTGTGATTCATTGTAAGTCTAGGCAAGGCTTTGCTGAAAGGACCTGGCATCTATATGGGTGGCTTTTTTAGAAATAAAGATTTATGCACATAGCTCAAAACCCATAAATAAGATATCACTCTCCTAGCAGAATAATCAAAATAAAATTAAAAGGGCAAACAGCAAATGAATATTGTATTTTTCTCTGCCTGTCACGGCTCCTCAGCAGCAAATGAGAAATAACTGCAAATCTACTTCACCTTAATGAACTTAACTGGGTCTTTTCAATATGGGGGAAAATATTAACATTTTATTCCAATAGCTGCACCCTCCTCCTGTAGCCAGGCTGTGATTATCACAGTCCAAACACAAAGGGACTTGAAAATGTACATCCAAGGAGTGCTGCTGCCCCTCAGGTGGGTACAGCCTCGGGCATGGGGCCCTGCAGCCCACAATGGGTTCTTTTTAAGGCTTATTTTTAATCCTTTAAAAACAGGTTCACACACGGGGCAGCCAGATAATCACACGTGTCTCAGTGCCCTGCCTTGTTTTCTGGGAAACAAAGACCCCTCTGGTCTTTGCTGCCTTCTGGGGAGGGCTCATCACTGTGCCCCCACATCCAGGCACCACCCAACACCCCTGCTCTGACAAACCCCACCCCAGCCAGAGCTTGGCTTTCCTCAACACTAATCCTAATCACAAGAGGAAAGGTTTTCCAGCAACAGCACCACCATGTGAGGCTCGGGGGTTGTTTCTCTGCTTTGAGCTGATCTCAGAAGCCTCGTGGGTTCAAAGCCAGGGAAAGGCCATTTCCCTGCTGGGCAACAGCAAATCCATGGGCAGTTTATTCCAGTTGCATCCACAAAGGGCTTGGATAAGGCAGAAAGCAGCACTGCACGTGGAAGGGTGTCTGTGCTTTGCCTGTCTGGGTTAAATGTGCTTCTCCCACTTCCAGCAGGAGAGAAGTGGAGTTTCCAGCCGTGTCAGGCAGCTGGGAATGGGATGTGGGGAAATGAGGGTGGCACAAGCCAACCTGCCACAAAGCCAGAGCTCTCCCTGCCCGCAGTAAAAGGCACAGCTCTGCTTCCCCCCACCTTGGGAGGAAGCTTTTGTAGCTGCCCAGCAGCACCTTCCAGTCCCAGCATCCCAGGGGCTGTGGCTGCACCTCCAGCGCCTGTGTTACCATCACCCTTTCAAATGTTAATGCTGAATAACACACTGCCTTGTGGGATCTTCCCTGCAGTGCCTGCAGGAGAATTATGTATATCCTCTGGGAGCTGGGGAAGCTGAACTAAATGCTCCACGATTCTGGTCATTGCCATTATCGTTCGTTTTTTGCCTCGCACGTTTTTAGTGCTTCTCCCTCCAGTTCCAGCCCTGCAGCTCAGACACACCAATGTACAAACAGCATAGGACAGGGCAGCTCTGGGGCCCTTATCTCATGGAAAAAGTGGTTTAGTGTATCATAAGCACCTCAGGAGGGTAATTTAACAGGGATTCGAGGTCACACAAACTCTGCTGCGCAGGTGTCTGACAGAGGAATAGGGAGAGAATGTCTCCAGTCTGCCTCTTCCCAGCTACTTCAGCATGCACAGCTAAATTCCAGTGCTTTCCCACAACTCCACGTGCTCTGAGGGATCCCAAGAACATTTTTCTTGATGTGAAAAGCTCAGAGAATTGGGATTGTTCAGCCTGGAGAAGGGAAGGCATCAGGGTGACCTAATTGCAGCCTTGCAGTGCCTGAAGGGAGCCAAAAGAAAGATGGAGAGAGACTATTGACAGGGGATGGAGTGACAGGACAAAGGGGAATGGCTTCCCACTGGCAGAGAGGACGTTCAGATGGGATATTGGGAAGAAATCCTTCCCTGGGAGGGTGGGGAGGCCCTGGCACAGGTTGCCCAGAGAAGTTGTGGTTGCCCCATCCCTGGAAGTGTCCAAGGCCAGGTTGGACGGGGCTTGGAGCAACCTGGGCTGGTGGAAGGTGTCCCTGCCCATGGCAGGGGGTTGGAATGAGATGATCTTTCAGGTCCCTTCCAACCCAAACCATTCCATGGTCACAGTTCCATGATCAGAGCAGATGCAGGAGATTCACAGCCCTTTTGGCATTCCAGAATTTTGGAAACATGCCTCAAAACAAGCATCCCAGGCTGGCACTTCTAGTGACACCTGAACATCAGTTTGGATTCGTGGAGGCTTTGACCACAAAGTGCTTCTCTGGTGGATGAAACCCCAAGGCACTGGGACAGTGTCCACCAGCTGAGCCAGGGGTGGATGGGGTAGAAAAACAAGTTTCACCCCAAAAAATACCCTTAATGCTAGAGCTGTGTCCTGCTTGTTGTACAAAGTTTGCAAAGCTAGGAGGCAGAGGCAGGGAAGGGATTTACAGAGGCGGTTACAGACAGGAGCACTTTAAAGAGCTACAGGAGGCCTTGCAAGGATTTTGTCAGTAGATCATCTGTCAGTGCTGCTAGTTAGGGCAATGCCATGGATAAACTACAACTTTGGCTTGTATATGAATTTTAAATGAGCTGTTAGCACACCCAATGAATCCAGCCAGAGAATGCCAATTTAGGGCCCTGACTGTCTGCTCTGTGAGACCAAGTAAATAACTCAGTAAATAACTCAGGCAAATTTCCTGACACTTTATTGAGCATGAGTGAACAAACAGAAAACAAACCCAAGGATTAATTCTACAGGCATTGTGTGCTGCAGGAAGGCAGGGCTGGGGGAGAGGCCTTTCTCCAGCTTTTGGTGGGGTTGGATGCAACACAACACATTCAAGGGCACTCCTTGGGCAAGCACAAACTGCTGGGGTCCCGAGATATTTTGGGAGGCTCTTTCAAGAGCTCCAGGATGTCTCAAGGCAGTTCCTTACATACCTCCTGGAGCTCTTAAAACTGCTCAGAACATGCCCATCCCTGCCTGCTGCCTCAGACCCTGAGCACAACCAACTTTTGAGCATCTGTGGAGAAGATCCTTCACCAAGACAAGACCAAATGAGCTGAGTGACAAACAAAAGACACTCCTAGTAGAACATCCCCATTTTGGATAAAGCTTTTAGAGCTGTTTTTTCCCCCCACAAAGGTCTCTAGAACAATGTTAACAAGGAGGCTTTCTGCAGGACTGGAGCAGAAGGGAACACACAGAAAAGAGGCTGAAAAAAACAGTTTTCACTGATAGTTTTTTCCTATGTGTCAAGGAGAGAAATGGAGCAAAGACAGCCTCGTTATGTGCATCCAGAGGCACGGGGAAGGTCACCCTGTAGCCAGTACTCTGCTCCCTTTTCCTGCCCAGATGATGCCTCTAAAGCTCACACTGCAATGCAACACTTGCTGTGGGCCCCATCCAGGCCAGCAAAAATTCCTGTCACTGTGTGCTCAAAGATGAGGCAATCTGCTGCCTAGGAGCTCCACTGGGAAATTCCAGGGCCAAGATCCACCCAAAACCCCAAAAAGCAGCAGCAGGGAAGCTCAGGGCTTGGTTCATGAGCCAAGTGCCCCTGACTCAGCACTGCTGTGTTTGCTCCTACCTGGAGGGCAAGGGCTGCAGGAAAGAATCTCTTCTTCCTGGTGAAGAACCCACCAGCACATTGCCCACGTTCACCTCCCATAACTGACCATCTAACTGTGCATTTCAGCAGCCAGATGGCTTTGAGGATTGTTTTAAATATTCACTTGCATTTTCTTTGACTGTTTAAATGTTCATTCTGGTCTGTTTTCCCTTTCCTGTGCAGAGCCCTGATTTATGTTGCTAGATCCCATATCTCCCTGCCTTGCCAAAAGCACGCATTTGGGAATGATTTCAGGGCCGCCAGTAATATTTTCCCCCCTCTTTTTTATTTTCTGCTTTATTTTTATTAACTTTTTTGTTGGAGACGCCGTAAAAACGAAACTGTGTCTCGAAGAAACAACACTCATCAAACCCCCAACAAGTCCATGTGGGGAAGCCCTGAGTGCACAGACCCTCCCTGGCCAGATTTTGAGCTGCTTCGTGCTCCACCAGCAGAGGGGAGAGGTAATTTTACTTCAGGTGTCACCTGTGAAAGGTGCAAATGGGGGACAGGGATAGATTTGCTTCTTATCTGCAGCAAAGAGTTAATAAAACCAGCTGGAAGCTCCAGAGAGAGCAGCCTGGAGAAGCAGTTTCCTTCCTAAACAACAGAGCCAAGTGTCAATACTTTGAGGCAAGTTTCATTACAAGCTTTCTGGATGCATTTCTGTCTCCTAATCCTGCACAGGCAGCGAGGGAAGATGATGGTGCCTCTGCCTGAACACTGTTTAATACAACCCAAAGCAGACCAAATGCACAGGATTTTCTTACATATGGAGAAATTTGGGTTTTTTAATGTCCTCGTGGCATCACTTAACCGGGGGCAGTTTGGGCTCAAGAAACTTCTTGCTCATCAACGGAGGACAAATAGATTTGTGACAGAGAACTATTTCATTTTATGTGGAGCTTAGGGGGGTAGGACATGGCACAGGGGGCAAGTTGAATTCCTCAGTGTGTCTTTGAGGAGTCACTTTCAATTTATACAACATGAGATTCCCATCAGGCAACGTTAACACCACAAAAATCAATGCTTAAGTGCATAAAATCACCACAAACCAATTTCATTTACAACAGGGAGGAGAAAACATTTCCAAAATGCAGGTGGGACATTTACA